ACTTATTAAGCAAGTATCATATCCTTAGCAGTGTGCTAGAGATTGAGAATATATAGATAATCATATATAAACTATATAATTACAAGCTTCCCTGGGAGCCATGTCATATGCACTTGACAGATGGCTAAAGTAAGAGATGGTGAGTACAGAGTAAGAACCAGGCAAATAATGGTGACATAAAGGCAAGAAAAATCAAGTTAAAGTTCCGGGAAGGCTGTGCAGTTTAATCTGCATTTTGAGACAGGCTGGGCATATCTAGAAAAAAATAAAAGGATGGGGAAGGGAATTATTTATTATGAAAAGTCTGCCATTTTGACGGTATGACAAATCAAAAGGAAGGTTTGGATTCAGCTTCCTTTTCCCACCATGGTTGCTTAAATCCAGCAAAAGTAGAGCAAAAAACAGGCGTAACTCCAGTGACAAGGCAGCCTGTAAAAGGCACTCTCGACATCACACAGCCTGCACTCCACTGACCCCTGATCCCTGGGGAAGGAGAGGGAAGGGGACGGGATTTTGAGAGCAGGATTTTCTAATCCATTCTGAGCTCACCCTTCAGGAAGCAGGACACTCCAGGCAGAGCTGCCACCTGCAAGCAGTTTCAACAGTAACAGCAGCACCCTGAGCAGCTTGGGATGACCACAGATGGAGAATATGTGTCTGTCTGTGTTGTATATTTTAGGATCACCAAAACGTTTCTCACTCACTTCTCCCAGGACTTATAGTATCCAACACTCCAGCCATCCTCAGTTTTTTACAAAATAAATTCCCAATTCACTGATTTCTCCCCACTGATTTATTAAAGAAGACTGCCTACTTCTGTAAAGGTATATTAAGTCCAACTCTATTATGGTCAGTTTTTCACTACTAACAAATAGAGGGTTTTTTTGGAGGGGCAAAACTGCAGGTAAACTATTTGGTGGAGGAGAAATTACAGAAAAGACCAACGACATGAAACACAGCTTCATGGGGATGGTGTGGGTTTGAAAAGGGCACTAGGGAGAGGCAGAGGCACATCCGGGGTTTCATTCTCCAGGATTTCATTCAGCAGTCACTCTGAGGATTTGTTTGGTCAGAAGCAATTCTGGGGCTGAGGAGACACTACTCAGCTCCACCTGATGGCCCCTGGAGAGATACTGCATAGAATGTACTGTCTGTTTGAAGATCCCTGACAGCCCTGAGAGAAAAATGCAATTTTGTATTCACTGAACTCTCAGATGAGGATAAGTACTGCTGAGGAATGGAGATGTAGAAATGAAAGGTGCTATTATGACTTTAGCCATGTCACTAATTTTAAAATGGAGTTATCATGAGGTTAGATACCTCCAAAATGCTTGGCATTCAAGACTATCTCTTTAGAGAATATCTACTGGGATCATTTTAATTCTAAATCTATTTTCAACAAGTTCATGTAAAGATTCTGAACCAGCATCCCCGGCTTAACTAAGCATTTGTGCTATTCATGTGAAACAAGATGGTGGCCACCTACAGCAAAGTTTACCTCACTGGAGATACTGAAGTGTTGAGGTAGCTGAGTTCCAGAAAAGCCATGGCTACCACTTGATTCAAACATCTGACAGATGGTAGGTGAGGAAAGACTAATGAAATGGCCCTGTAATGTTCATTTGCCAGCTACCCTTTTTCATTATTTAAAAATTAAAGTTCTATAACATTTTATAAGAGCTTCATGTCACAATTTGTACTATCTACTATTCTAATACACTTCAAGTTTTAACTTCCCACGTAGTTATATTTTACTTTTTTATGCCATATATAATTCAAGTCATATATTATTCAAGTTGGCCTGTAATCCCAGCACTTTGGCAGGCTGAAGTGGGTGGATCACCTGAGGTCAGCAGTTCAAGACCAGCCTGGCCCAAATAGTGAAACCCCATCTCCATTAAAAATACAAAAATTAGCTGGGCATGGTGGTGCCTGCCTGTGGTCCCAGCTACTCAGGAGGCTGAAGCAGGAGAATCGCTTGAACTCAAGAGGTGGAAGTTGCAGTGAACCGAGATCGCGCCACTGCACTTCAGCCTGGGTGACAAATCGAGACTCTGTCTCATTAAAAAAAAAAAAAATTATTCAAGTCATCCTATGTCTTCTTGATACCGCTGTTAATCGAAAAGCACACATTTCTGAAAGGTGTGAAACAGAACAACCAAAATCCAACTCATATCTACTTTTTTTAAAGTGCACGAAATAAATCTTGGAATAAAATATAGCTAAATGTTAAAAGTGGCTTGTTTGAGTAGAACTAAAAACAATTTCCTTTTCCAAATTTCACCTTCTCAATTTTGTAGTGGCATAATTAACATTAAAAACGATATAAACATTTAGAAATACCTACTACATCAACTTCATTCAGTTATATAAATACTGACACTGTAATTAGTTTCATATCTTTTTAAAACAAAAAATGTTGACCAAATGCTTTTGTTTATCAAAAAATCTTATGTTGAGAACAAATTGCCACACATGCTGGGTGAAAACCGTATTAGGCTCATACCTAATTAGCAGAATGTCTACAGCTAAGAAAAATCAGCAAGTTATTTATCAGGTTATTAGTTAATTACACAGAACATACTGTCTTGATTAAAATACCTTAAGGACATTAGTTAACCATCAAAGAAGTTCCATTCCCAGAGCATAAAGGCTATTATGGCTCAGGCCTGTACTCCCAGCACATTGGGAGGTTGAGATGGGAAGACTGCTTAAGGCCAGAAGTTTGAGACCAGCCTGGGCAACATAGGGAGACTCCCTCCCCATTTCTACAAAAATAATTTTTTTTAATGAAGAAAGCATAGGCCCACTATTAGCAAAGGGCTTGCAGCTGACTACAGTCAAATGAGAAAATACATTTCCAAAAACCAACAAATAAGATTACTCTTTACAATTAAATTAAATTACAGGTTGGCCATGGTGGTTCACATCTGCAATCCCAATACTTTGGGAGGTAGAGACAGGCAGATCACATGAGGCCAGGAATTCAAGACCAGCCTGGCCAACATGGTGAAACCCCGCCTCTACTAAAAATATAAAAATTAGCCAAGTGTGGTGGCTAAAGCCTGTAGTTCCAGCTACTCGGGAGGCTAAGACATGAAAATCGCTTGGACCTGGGATGTGGAGGCTGCAGTGAGCCAAGATCGTACCACTGCACTCCAGCCTGGGTGACACAGTGAGACTCTGTCTCAAAAAAAAAAAAAAAAAAAAATTTTTTTTTTTAATTATGAGTAGAACCACAATTTTAAAATCTGGTATTATTTTTGTATATGAGTATACAAAAGCACGGCCACGCTGAAGCTTCCTGTGATTCTGCTGTTAATCAACCAACCCACTCCCTGCAACCTCCAACTTTATTGTTTCAAGGTTTTAAACAAGTCAAAGGAAAGGATACTAGCTCTTTTACTTACCTAATTCACAAAAGCGTTACAAAATAAATAGCCATGTGCAAATTAGAAAACAAAGATCCAATAAAATGTGACTCTTTTTTCTATGATAGTGAAAGTATAATCAGAAAAACAGCAGCTCATTCAAAATAAAAGCAAAAAGTTCTTCGGATTTAATTGCAAACATTTTCCCTATTCACCTGAATGATCAGGTCAACATATAACTTATCTTTTCGACAGCTTTGAAACAGAATAATCCTAAAACGTATCAGCAAGATGGAATCCATTATCATACACTCCCCATTATGAAATACAGGTGCATCATGAAATTCACATATTCAAAATGTTCTGAAAACAATTTACGATACTTGGGCCACATTTCATCAACATGGGCTTAGGCTATTTTTCCATGATAAAAATGTTACAAGAGGCTGGATACATTGGCTCATGCCCGTAATCAGCACTCTGGGAGGCCCAGGCAGATGTAACACCTGAAGTCAGGAGTTCAAGACCAGCCTGGCCAACACAGTAAAACCTCATCTCTACCAAATATACCAAAATTAGCTGGGCATGGTGGCATGCACCTGTAGTCCCAGCTACTCAGGAGGCTGAGGCAGGAGCATTGCTTGAACCCGGGAGATGGAGGTTGCAGTGAGCCAATATCGTGCTACTGCACTCCAGCCTGGGTGACAGAGCAAGACTCCATCTCAAAAAAAGATAAAAAGAAAATGTTAAAAGAGCCACGCCTCCTCAAGGGAAAACAAGCACCAGCAATTTTCCAGAGTTTCATGACTGTGGACTTAGGCAGGAATGAGCTCCAGCTCTGCCCTTCAGTGCTGGTGAACAGGGTAAGGTAAGTGATGTAACCTCTTCAAGTGTCAGTCTCCTCATTTCTAAAATGGGATGACAAAACCCCAAGGCCATGCTGTAAGGATTTCGTGAGCAAAATCCACAGCACTATCAACAGAATGTAGCTGCTACTCCTCTGATTATTAATTTTCCGCATTTATTTTAATATAAAATCTATGAGTAAATGAATATTAGTACTAGAGGGCAGGAAAAGTGTGGATTATTTTCTGATTATTCTTATTTTTTCTGTTCTTAAGCACTGCACACAGTGTGACTACCTCTTTGGGAGTGCCAGGATAGATGCGGCAACCTGTACAGTTTTGTCAGGGGGAGAAAAAGTGCATGCTAAGAATTGATTCCTTTAAACCAACTTCTATTTTTATTTTTGAGACAGGGTCTTGCTCTGTCACTCAGGCTGGAGTGCAGTGGCACAATCATGGCTCACTGGAGCCTGGACCTCCCAGGCTCAAGCGATCTTTCCAACTCAGCCTCCTGAGTAGCTGGGACTAAAGGCCCACGCCACCACACCTGGCTATTTGTAGAGATGGAGTCTCACTATGTTGCCCAAGCTGGTCTTGAACTCCTAGACTCAGGTGATATTCCCGTCTTGGCCTCCCAATGTGCTAGAATTACAGGTGTGAGCCACCCGACCTGGCCTGATTTCATTCTTAACAGAGAATGAACATTGATGATTTATGGCAGGCTGAAAATCAGGGGTTTCAGGAATTTCACTCCATTCTGCTGTTCCCATGCTGAAGAGCTCACCTGACTTACAGAAGGTCTCTTCTCCTTCCCTTTTCTGGCCAGTGTGTCCAGCCCTTTTAACGAAGAAAATATTCCCTTCTTGATTCTCCCTCGCTGGGACAGTGACAGTGTCCTTTTCCGGAGAGCAGAGTCACCTCTAGAACATACCTAACATAAAACACAGTTTTAAAGATCTCAAGGCTTAGTATTTGAGCGGCAGAGACAATTAACAGTTGCCCTAAAGAAGTGAGCTCTGCTTGCTATAAATGCATTCCCACCATGGCCAAAAGCTCCTGCATGTCTGAAACACCAGGAAAGCATCCACTATATAGACAGCTCTCATCTGGACAACACAAGTCACAACATTCAGGTCTCTCCACGGTGGGCAGCAGTGTCAGCAAAACCACCCACAGACCCCCTGGCTGAGCCAGCGTAACACACAGAAGCCAGCAAAATGGGAGCGACTGCAGAAAACCCAACAGGGCGCTCTGCAGGGCAGAGAAAACAACCCTTAATCCACCCTTTAATCTCCATGCCACTGCTGCCACTTCTCCAGGATCCCATCTCCCTGATGGTATAGGGTGGCACAGACAGAAAGGCGTACAGATGTGAACATGCGGTAACTGTCCACTAGCTGCTGGACTCCAGAATGAGCAGTAGAGAAACTGGGGGCTCTACGTCTGGTCTCCTTCATCCCCAGGCCCATGGCCTCTGGGTGACCTGGCCTCCAGGTGTTAGTTGTTGGGTCAAGTCCACAAGCGCTGTTGGCGACAAGCCGAAGAAGGGGAACATCCGCAACCCTCGCCAAATGCTGCAGAAACAGCCTTTCTCAGGAACTTACCAGAGCATGGAAAGAGGAAACAGACAAGATGCCCAGCCTGCCGAGGGCCAGCTTGGAGGGGCGGCTGGCAGCTGCAAGGAGACTCTTGGGGTTTGGTAACTCCCCCCCTTGTAGGCTGGCCAGATAGCAGCGCATCCTGAACAGATCCATGTGAAATTTCTCAAGATTCTGCTCCCATTGCTGGATCTAAAAGCAAAAACAGAGGTACTTTAAATAAAAATTAAAAGTTTTCATGGGTTGAGATGAAAATGTAATCCCTTTCACAAACTTGAAGGAAAAATTAGTTTCAGCTCCTCTGCATGGTTTAAATTAGCCCTTCCTTCTCACCCCATCTCAATCCCTCCATCTAAATGCATGAGGCCCTTTGGGAGGCAAGGCGGGCAGATCAATGAAGGTCAGGCATTCAGGACCAGCCTGGCCAACATGGTGAAACCCTCTATCTACTAAAATAAATAAATAAATAAATAAATAAATAAATAAATAAATAAATAAATAAGCAAGCAAGCAAGCAAGCCAGGCATGGTGGCAGGCACCTGTAATCTCAGCTACTCTGGAGGCTGACACAGGAGAATTGCTTGAACCTGGGAGGTGGAGGCTGCAGTGAGCTGAGATCAAACCATTGAACTCCAGCCTGGATGACCAAGCAACACTCCATCTCAAAAAAGAAAAAAAAAAAATGCATTGGGTCATCCAGCACTTTACTTCATGAGGATAGCCAAAAAAACAAAAACAAAAAGCCGGTGATCCCAATCCGGTGACATGCCAAATGGCATGATCTTTGGAGCATACCAGCACTCTTAAACCATCCTGACTTAAAACTTAAAACTTGCAAGTCAGCTTTTTCACTTTGCTTCATTTCCCTTCACATTTACAGCCCCTGATCCCAAAGTGGATTAACAGTGCTGCACACAGACAGATGCCAGATAAACAAAGGCAGTGTCTTTATGTTTCTGTTCATTCTCAGTAAATGACTCAAAACAATAAGAAGCAAATGGACTTCAGGGATAAGGACAAATAGAACTTTTACTTAGAATACTCCTAAGTATCTTGGAGAATAACAGCCATCTGTGCATCTAAATAAAATTATAGTATATACAGATGTTTACACCACAGAAGTTCCTATGTTCTTCTTCAAAACTTAAGTCATGAGTTGGTAAAGAAATTCAGCCAAGACTGGGCACAGTGGCTCACACCTGTAATCCCAACACTTTGGGAGGCCGAGGCGGGTGAATCACGAGGTCAGGCGTTTGAGACCAGCCTGTCCAATGTGGTGAAACCCCATCTCTACTAAAAATACAAAAATTAGTTGGGTGTGGTGGCAGGCATCTGCAATCCCAGCTACTTGGGAGGCTGAGGCAGGAGAATCACTTGAATCCGGGAAGCAGAGGTTGTAGTGAGCCAAGATCACACCATTGCACTCCACCCCAGGTGGCAATGCAAGACTCCATCTCAAAAAAAGGGAAAGAAAAAATAATAATAAATGCAGCCAAACTCTGGGAGCCATTTTTCTTTCTTCCAAGGATGCCAAAATGCATTACCTACAAGTATTATCTTTACGCAAAATAAATCATTAATAATAGGTGAAGAGGGGCTGTTGTGATTTGCCAAAACAGGGACTCAGCAGAAGGAGAAGAACAGAAAGCCGTGATTCAAAAGGTCCTGAGAGCAACCTCAACACTCGAGACAAGGTGTCAGTGAGCACCTGTAGTAAAGGATTCAGTGTAAAGAATGATGTCATTTCGGGTGCAGCAGTTACATCTCTAGTTCTGCCATGTTGCTGAGCACCCAAAGGGATCCTCACTTTCATGCTAAGCTTTTTCTATGTGAATCCTTCATTCTGGATAAATGATACTTTGAAGGATTTCCAGCACTGCCCCTCCAGTTTCTCCCCATGGAAAAGTACTACAAATTCTGGGCATTCCCCAGACCTTCTCCACGTTCTCTGTATCTATTTCTTAGGGTGGTTGCTATATAACTTTTCTGCATGGAAGAAAAACAGCCACAAGATCTAAACAAAGAATTTCTTGATCATTTGTCAGCAAAACAGTGAAGTTTCAAGGTGCATTGAAACAATGTCGACATCCGTAATGAATTTACCTCACTTGAAATCCTGTACATCCATATTAGCAATGTGGTGGCCTACTGGTAACAGCCTTGAATGGACAGAATGAACTGTTGGCTTTTAAAAATGCAGATGCCCAGGTCCTACGCCTGAAGATTCTATCCATTAGGTCTGAGACCTAGGAAGATTTACATTTCATAAGCACCTCCTGGGACTCTAGTGCACGGCCTTACTAGCTGGGACTACAGGTATGGGCCACCACACCTGGCTAATATTTTTTTGTATTTTTAGTAGAGATGGGTTTTCACCATGTTGGTCAGGCTGATCTTGAACTCCTGACCTCAAATGATCTGCCCACCTCAGCCTCGCAAAGGGCTAGGATTACAGGTGAGAGCCACCGTGCCTGGCCTTTTTTGGCTTTTTAATCCACCGTGGATGGCATGGGCATCTTTACCTTCTGGTATCCAATGACTCCTTCATTTTCTTTTCCGTTTTTTCTTTTTGGAGACAGTCTCACTCTGTCACCCAGGCTGGAGTGCAATGGCATGATCTCAGTTCACTGCAACCTCCACCTCTTGGGCTCAAGCAATCCTCCCACTCAAGTGAAAGTTTACTTTCCTAGTCTAGAACACCCCTGTTCTAGACTAACGAGTTCAAATTGAAACTGCAAGTCTCTTCCTGATCCTGCCATATTAGAGAATTCTAGATTCCAGAGTGAAGGATGGGTACAAACTGACACCTTACTTAAGGTTCAGTAAAAACTACACTCTCAGTCCTGTTTCCTAAACATCTTTTCTCCAGATGATTCTTGAAAATCCACAATTATAGATGGATTTCTTTGTCTTCTAATAGGTATTTCTAGACTGGATACTACTTTAAAGTTTATTACACTCATTTATGCCTCAGTGTAAAACAGTTTATCAGGTATTTTCTGAAGGTTGTCTGGAGGGTGAAGATATGAAAGGAAAAAAAATGAATGATTGGCCGTGCATGGTGGCTCATGCCTGTAATCCCAGCACTTGGAGAGGCCAAGGCAAGAAGATTGCCTGGGCCCAGGAGTTTGAGACCAGCCTGGGCAATATGGTGAAATCCTGACTCTACAAAAAATACAGAAATTAGCCAGCCATGGTGGTGCATGTCTGTAGGCCCAGCTACTTGAGAGGCTGAGGTGGGAGGATCGCTTGAGCCCAAGAGATGGAGGTTGCAGTGAACTGATATCACACCATTGCAATCCAGCCTGGGTGACAGAATGGATGACAGAATATTTCCAAGAAGTAAAAAAGGAAAGAAAAAGAAAACGAATGCGTCATTGGATACCAGAAGGCAAAGATGCCCATGCCATCCATGGTGGATTAAAAAGCCAAAAAAGACCAGGCGCAGTGGCTCATGCCAGTAATCCCAGCCCTTTGGGAGGCTGTGGTGGGCGGATCATTTGAGGTCAGGAGTTGAAGACCAGCCTGACCAACATGGTGAAACCCCGTCTCTACTAAAAATATGAAACAAATTAGCCAGGTGTGGTGGCACATGCCTGTAATTTCAGCTACTCGGGAGGCTGAGGAGGAAAATCGCTTGAACCCAGGAGGCTAAGGCTACAGTGAGCTGAGATCGCACCACTGCACTCCAGCCTGGGCGACAGAGTGAGACTCCATCTCAGGGGAAAAAAAAAAAAAAAGACAAAATAAAATAAAATCCAGGTCTATGCCAATCACCATAGACTGGGGAAGAAGACATTCTCTTGTATTGGCACTGAATCGTATAGTTTAAAAGGTATTTTTAAAGTATTATATAATGTATTTGTGTGGCTACACATCAGAGCAGCCCTGAGAGGTAAAGTCAGTTCTGTCCCAAAGGATACACAGGGAAAGGTAAAGTGTTTTTTGTTTTTTTTTTTTGAGACAGAGTTTTGCTCTTGCTGCCCAGGCTGGAGTGCAATGGCACGATCTCGGCTCACTGCAACCTCCGCCTCCTGGGTTTAAGTGGGGAATCCTAAACTTTTATCAGAAACACTTTAATAATCTTCAGCACTCAGAGAGCTCTCCACCCAAAGCTTGGGACAAAATACAGGTGAATTCACAGGAAGAACATGGACCCAGAGGCTTCCGTTTGTTGTAAAGGCGACAGGGCTGGGACACCCCAATAGCCCAAAGGAGACCTTATAAAAATCAAGATGTTTGTTGTCTTGATTATACCTTATTAAGTTTCAAGACAACCAGTATCTCAATAAACTGTATACTGTAGAATTCATTTAAAATTTAATTTAGTAGAAAACGCAAAGAAAAAGTAACCTTATGACTACTCTATTTCAAAATGTTCCTTACCCTTCTTATTCTTATTCTGACTGTAGCATCTTGTTTTTTGAGGCAGGGTCTCACTGTGATGCCCCAGCTGGAGGTACAGTGGCATGCCATTGGCTCACTGCAACCTCTGCTTCCTCACTCAAGTGATCCTCCCAACTCAGCCTCTCAAGTAGCTGGGACCACAGGTGCATGCCACCACTCCTGGGTAATTTTTGTATTTTTTAGTAGAGACCAGGTTTTGCCACGTTGCTCAGGCTGGCCTCAAACTCCTAAGCTCAAAGGGATGCACCCGTGTAACGGTTAGTTTTATGTACTCACTTGATTGGGACATGGGGTGCCCAGCTATTTACTCAAACATTATTCTGGATGTGTTTGAGGATGTTTTGGGTGAGATTAACACTTAAATGGGTAGACTGAGTAATGTGGACTGCCCTCCCTAATGTGGGTGGGCTTCATCCGATCTGCTGAGAGCCTGAAGGGAACAAAAAGGCTGACTCCCCCTCAAGGAATAGAGAGCCCCTCCTCCCTGACAACCTTCAAACTGGGAAACGGGCTTTTTTTTTTTGGATTTGGCTTTGGACTTGAACTGAAACATGGGCGCTTCCTGAATCTTGAGTCTGCCAGTCTTCAGCCTAGAACTATACGATCGGCTCTCTTCATTCTCATGCCTTAGACTCAGACTAGAACTATACCATTGGCTCTTCTCCAGCTTACTGACTTGCCCTGTAGCTCTTGGGACTTGCCCTTCTCCATAACTGCATGAGCCTATTTCTTATTATAAATCTCTCTCTTTCTTTCTCTCCCTATACAAACACATACACACACAC